GAACCCGGACCACAAGGAGTTCGTCACCCGGTCACCGCGCAATCCGGTTTAGCCAACAACGCTAGCGATCTGGGTGTCAAACCTTCAAGGGTTTTAAGTATTTCGAATTTTTGAAATGAAGACAACTGCATATTTTGATTTTTCGAAATGAGGAAATTTCCATATTTTGAACTTCCGTCTAGCCCTATATGCCCAATTTGACTGAAGGCATGAAAAAGGGTCCTGAACTGTTACTTTACTTTTGTGACTGCAAATTTCTCCAGATTGCAAAAGCCCTTTAAATTATGCGCAAGTTAGGGTAATATTCACGTCAACCAGTTTAAATAACAAGATATAAACACACGAATGCATTAGTGTTTTATTTGCTTTGTGAATCTCATTAGTGTTTGAAAGATTGTAGATTGTGTTAGAAAACACAATTTTGCAAAATAATAATTTTGTCTTGATTTGTAAAATTGACGGACAAATCTACGAACGTCTGAATGTTTGGGGGCGCTCAAGTTTCTTTGTGAAATTAGTTCGTGTCCGCAAAAATAAAGGACACCGCAGTCCTTCTATTGCCTTATGTTTCTGCCGTTTCGGGTTTGATTTCATACGTCGCCCCTGGGTTCGCACTGAATGTAAAATTTACATAATTCTGGCGGGAACAGGGGGTCTGTTCACATTTTTTTAAAGACCTCGGGGCAGTGTTTCCAAAAATTTTCCTAGTCGCGGCGCATTTTTTACAGTAAAAATTTTCCACAGCGCCCTAACCTAACTAGAAGTATGACTATTCGTATGTAAGAGATAAAACAAAAATCTCGTGTTTCTTCCAAAGTTTCGGAGCGCTCCTTTGAAGAGGTCACGGCTTCCCGGGGCCCGCGTCGCACAGTTTGAAAATCACTGTCTAGGGGGATTGTCGTCTGCTTTTCCAAATCCGGTCTGGGTTCTACTTAAGCTCTTTTTGCAGTGTGCAATTTGGCGCCACAACCAGATCTCCAGGGTTACCTTTCCTAGAAAAATTACAAATATTGTCTATTTATTTTCGGTTTCTGTATTGCAACTGTTTCAGACCGGTGCTCCACTGGGCTCTGGCGGTTCAGAGCACACTTCCCACGGGCTCGGTGCGACACGCTGAGCTGAAGTTACAAAACACTGAAAAAAGTAACGATTGAGAAACAAAAAGTAGAATCTGCTGCCACAAGCTCCAACATCATTGACTGTCAACTCAACTGAGCCGGACTCCAACATTATTGACAGTCAACTCAACTGAGCCGGACTCCAACATTATTGACAGTCAACTCAACTGAGCCGGACTCCAACATTATCGACAATTAACTCAAATGAGCCGGACTCCAACATTATTGACAGTCAACTCAACTGAGCCGGACTGTAACATTTTTGACAGTCAACTCAACTGAGCCGGACTCCAACATTATTGACAGTCAACTCAACTGAGCCGGACTCCAACATTATTGACAGTCAACTCAACTGAGCCGGACTCCAACATTATTCTCCAGGGTTACCTTTCCTAGAAAAATTACAAATATTGTCTATTTATTTTCGGTTTCTGTATTGCAACTGTTTCAGACCGGTGCTCCACTGGGCTCTGGCGGTTCTGAGCACACTTCTCACGGGCTCGGTGCGACACGCTGAGCTGAAGTTACAAAACACTGAAAAAAGTAACGATTGAGAAACAAAAAGTAGAATCTGCTGCCACAAGCTCCAACATCATTGACTGTCAACTCAACTGAGCCGGACTCCAACATTATTGACAGTCAACTCAACTGAGCCGGACTCCAACATTATTGACAGTCAACTCAACTGAGCCGGACTCCAACATTATTGACAATTAACTCAACTGAGCCGGACTCCAACATTATTGACAGTCAACTCAACTGTGCCGGACTGTAACATTTTTGACAGTCAACTCAACTGAGCCGGACTCCAACATTATTGACAGTCAACTCAACTGAGCCGGACTCCAACATTATTGACAGTCAACTCAACTGAGCCGGACTCCAACATTATTGACAGTCAACTCAACTGAGCCGGACTCCAACATTATTGACAGTCAACTCAACTAAGCCGGACTCCAACATTATTGACAGTCAACTCAACTGAGCCAGACTCCAACATTATTGACAGTCAACTCAACTGAGCCGGACTCCAAAATTATTGACAGTCAACTCAACTGAGTCGGACTCCAACATTATTGACAGTCAACTCAACTGAGCCGGACTCCAACATTATTGACAGTCAACTCAACTGAGCCGGACTCCAAAATTATTGACAGTCAACTCAACTGAGACGGACTCCAAAATTACTGACAGTTAACTCAACTGAGACGAACTCCAAAATTATTGACAGTCAACTCAACTGAGTCGGACTACAACATTATTTACAGTCAACTCAACTGAGACGAACTCCAAAATTATTGACAGTCAACTCAACTGAGACGGACTCCAACATTATTGACAGTCAACTCAACTGAGACGAACTCCAAAATTATTGACAGTCAACTCAACTGAGATGGACTCCAACATTATTGACAGTCAACTCAACTGAGACGAACTCCAAAATTTTTGACATTCAACTCAACTGAGACGAACTCCAAAATTATTGACAGTCAACTCAACTGAGACGAACTCCAAAATTATTGACAGTCAACTCAACTGAGCCGGACTCCAAAATTATTGACAGTCAACTTAACTAAACCGGACTCCAAAGTTATTGACAGTCAACTCAACTGAGCCGGACTCCAAGATTATTGACAGTTAACTCAACTAAGCCGGACTCCAAAGTTTTTGAAAGTCAACTCAACTAAGCCAGATTCAAAAATTATTGACAGTCAACTCAATATAAGCCAGATTCAAAAATTATTGACAGTCAACTCAACTAAACCCCGTGTGGGTTTCGGCGCCCCATTGTGGGAAAAACAAGAATAGACCCACTGCCTCCCCAAAAGCATGTCGTAAGAGTCGACTAATTGGGAAGCTTCCTTTGAAGTCGGAGTGCATCTGCCGGAGAGGCAAGGAACCAACAGTCTGTATTCAAGAGAATGAGATCTGTAAAACTGATGCACACGCAACACTCAGGTTCTGAAGCAGGACCGCAGTTCAGTAATGGACGAGCAACCAGAAATTTCCGCCAAAGTGTACAGCTGGTGAACGCAAAGAAGAAGAAGAAGAACTCAACTAAGACGGACTCCAAAATTTTTGACAGTCAACTCAACTAAGCCGATCTCCAAAATTATTGACAGTCAACTCAACTAAACCAGATTCCAAAATTATTGACAGTCAACTCAAAAAAGCCAGATTCCAAAATTATTGACAGTCAACTCAACTAAGCCGGACTGCCCAACAGAAAAGATAATTAACAGTCGCCTCTAATTGGCACTAAAAATGGATAAATGGACTGACGACTACAATTGACCACTACAACTGAACACTACAATTGACCTGTAAGAAATAGGTTTTGGCTCCGTCAAACAAACCTTTTTTAAAACTGGGCTCTTCGAGACAATATATTTGGATATCGCTGCATGTAGGCGTGTTGTAACATCCAAATACACTGGGTTTCTATATATTTCAATGGAAATCCAAGGAACAGTGAAGTTGTATTGAAAAATCTGGATGGGAAAATATCATATAAGATAATGCAACATTCATGTTGCTGAAATGATGCAGTGCAACTTATAACTTAACCGGGATGTACTGCAACAACCAGATAGCTGTCAAATTGAATTGCAACACACGAATAGGTGTAACGTTGTATTGCAACACGTTAGGTGTAATGTTGTATTAAAAGTAGATGTAATATAGCATTAGAACACACACACACACACACACACAGACACAAATAGATATAATGTTGTATTGCAATATACGAGCAGCTGTAATATTGTGTTGTATCAAACAAGAAGATATAATGTTGTATTGCCACACACAAGCAGCTGTAATATTGTATTGTATCAAACAAGTAGATATAATGTTGTATTGCAACACACGAGCAGCTGTAATATTGTGGTGTATCAAACAAGTAGATATAATGTTGTATTGCAACACACGAGGAGCTGTAATATTGTATTGTATCAAACAAGTAGATATAATGTTGTATTGCAACACACAAGCAGCTGTAATATTGTATTGTATCAAACAAGTAGATATAATGTTGTATTGCAACACACAAGCATCTGTAATATTGTGTTGTATCAAACAAGAAGATATAATGTTGTATTGCAACACACAAGCAGATGTAATGTGTTAGCGCAAAACACAAACAGCTATACAGAGTTTCACTCTTCATTGCCGGTCATGTTTTGCTGCAACTCGTCAGAAGCACTAATGCAGTTATAGCAATACGAAGAATAAAAATAAATAAAATCAGCCGAAATACAAAATGGTCTCTTGCGATCCATTTGTATCCGCGGTGCTTGTAACGTTGTTGGGCCCTGAAAGAAATGACTTCCTTTGCTATTTATGCCTGGTCGTTTCGCAGGTCCTGTCTTATGTTGCGGGGGTGTTACGCTTAGGTAGTGTCCATCCAACAGGACGTATTTTACACGTTGTTGTCGGCGTCCGGTCATATCGCGTCTTCTATAGTCTACGATGTCAGCGCTTTAAAAGGTACCAAAACACGTATAACTAGCTCAAACCCAAACACCCCTTACGCCATAGCCTCAGACTACGTTCCACGAGAGAGTGCAGTCTCGTCCCAAGACTGCAGGTAGCCTATGAAAACAACGCGTAAAATGCGTTGTGTTGCTGGACGCTTACTAAGCGTGACAACCCCGCAACACAGGATAGATCCTGCGACTCGACCAGGCATAAGTGGCAAGGGAAGTCACTCTATTTCCGAGCCCGACTTCGTTAGTTGAACCGTATCTGCATTATTTAAATTTATTACGGGAACAAATTCTTTTGAAAATTTCACTCTTCCAAATATTTATCAACAAGACAGCGAATGCAGGGCTCAATGCATATTGACTCTTTCATTGGTTAATTTATTTGTTTCCACAGCAACCAAAACCTTGGGGAGCCATTTTCTCTTCTCTGCCGTTCTGGGCTATCCTTCTGGCACACACGTGTGGAAATTACGGACTCTATATGTTGCTGACCCAGATCCCCACATACATGAAAGAAGTTCTCAAATTTGACCTCAAATCTGTAAGTTAATATATATATATATATATATATATATATATATATATATATATATATATATATATATATATATATATATATATATATATATATATATTTAACATATCTGATCATTCGCATGTTTGTTTCTCTGTATGTGTTAGTTCTTTCGTTAGTTAGTTAGTTAGTTAGTTAGTTAGTCAGTCAGTCAGTCAGTCAGTCAGTCAGTCAGTCAGTCAGTCAGTTAGCTAGTTAGCCAGTCAGTCAGTCAGTCAGTTAGTTAGTTAGTTAGGTAGGTAGGGGGGAGGTAGGAAGGTAGCTAGTTGGTTGGTTGATTGGTTGGTTGGTTGGTTGGTTGGTGGGTGGGTGGATTGGTTGGTTGGTTGGTGGTTTGGTTGGTGGGTGGGTGGGTGGATTGGTTGGTTGGTTGGTTGGTTGATTGGTTGGTTGGTTGGTTGGTTGGTGGGTGGGTGGATTGGTTGGTGTGTTGGTTGGTTGGTTGGTTGGTTGGTTGGTTGGTTGGTTAATGGAAAGAATATCATCAATGCATATCAGACAAGCGCTCAGATCCCATCTTCAGTATTTCCCCCAGCGTGAATAGACTGATAACATCAGTTCTGTGTTGGTTTGCTATTCTTTTTTTGGCTACCTGTATAGTGTTCATATTTGGTGACAACTCTGTTGACCTGAAGTTCTTGTAGTCTTTTGAGTGTTGCCGATTCAACTTTTCGTCCTGCCTCCTAGAGAGCACACATAAATTTGCAAAGGTTTGACTAAGACTTCCCTCTTCAAGTCCGTCTAGTCCCAATTTATTTCCACCAAGTCCCAAATCAAGTCTTATCAAAGAAGAACAGTCTCCATATAAAGGAAAATGCAACCGGTAACTATCTTCAAACGCGAAAACGTGTCTGGTCTAAAAACAGTGCATCGTACATCTGCCATATTGACTAATACTTGAGCTGATGTCTTATATCCCTTTACTGTTGTGCCTTAAAAGACAACCCCGTTTCGTAAACACAATTTCAGAACGGCGCCTTCTCCATGTTGCCATACCTGACGATGTGGTTCTGTATAAGCTGTGCGGGCACCGTGTCGGATATTCTAATCGTCCGGAAGATTTTACCTTACCTTTGGGTTCGGAAACTCATGTCTTCTATTGGTAAGTACCCGTGTCATCGCGTGCCGCATTTGTGTATTCTTTAATACTGATTTTCTGTGGACACCAAAGTTATGTCAAGTGAGCCTGCACTTGTGTGTCTGTATGTGTGTTTGCGTCTATGTTGACATTTTGGAGTAAGTGGGGAGGGGAAAAAAGGGGGGGGGGGTGTGAAGGGTTGGAAGAATTAAAAAAAATACTGTACTTGTGTATGTTGAGATGCGGGGGAGGGGGAGGGGCCTCAGTGTGTTTACACATCTTCTAGATAGTTAGGGTAAAGAAGGGAGTGGGGGGGGGGAGGGGGGAATGTGGTCAAAGGTCATAAGCTATGTTTAAGTAAAGTAACAGTAACTAAAGGGCCCTTTCCAACGCCTTTTTTGGCATATAGGGCTAGATCTACATTTTTAGACCAATCAGCACTCCGTGGGTAATGTAGTCAACATCACACCGGCCGCCTTTATTTCCCATGACTCTACCTGGCACTGATTTAGGGTTGGGTTGACCTGGGAGACAACGTCAGTTTTCGACGTCGAGATATGCAATCAAACGCTCTTTTGAGTGGTCATTAATCATTTTCAAAAATTTGCCGAATGGCAAAACAATTTAACAAAGTATTCGAATTAACATAATATGTATAAAGAGAGAACTGCGCATGGGGGGTGGAAAAGGGAGGGGGGCAGTTGAGCCCCTTTCAATATCTGAGTTGGGGTTGGGGGGGGGGGCGCTCCTGAAATTGCCTAAGGTTTCGGCACCTCTGTGAGTAATTACATGTCTTAAGGATCGGACCATTGACAGTCCGTGGATGTTGTTTTCTGAGTCGGCACGAGCTTTGCACGAGCGGGCGGTATAGTAGTAGTGGTGGTGTGTGTGGTAGTAGTAGCAGAAGCAGCAGTAGTAGCAACAGTAGTAGTAGTCACAGCAGAAATATTTTAGCAGCATCACTAGAAGTAGCAGTGTAAGTAACGGTAGAAGAATCATTGTGGTTATAGTCTATCAAACTGATAGTTTTTTTTTCTTTTTAAATAAAAACGTAGCTCACATCTTGTTGTTGGTAACAATGTTATGGATTGTAGGAACACAGCTACATGTCCAGTTACCCCATCTTCTCCACAGGTACGTTTGGACCCGCCATATGCCTGATAGGCGTGACTTTTATGGACTGTACCCAACAGATAGCTGCCGTGGTCCTGCTGTGTGGAACTGTGGGCCTTTCCGGTGTAGCCTTCGCAGGCTATATAAAATTTAAAATTTTCTTGTTTTTAAACAAAAACAATAATAATAATTAATAATAAAATAAAAAAATAATAGTATTTAAATAATTTATTTAAAAAAATGAACCCCCATGAGTGATTGATCAGTTCATGCGGCTATTACTCCATGACGTTTCCCGGTCCAATTGAACACAAAAAACAGACGGTGAAAACTTGGGCCTTGAAACAGTCGACAATAAAATATAGTCGAATGATGGGAACTATGAGAGAGAAAAAAAAATAAAAAGGAACACAAACAGCATAAAAATCGAAATTATAGTTTTTTCAGGGGAAAAACCCAATGTTTAGGGGTTAGGGTTTGAAATTAACGCGACAACACTAAAACTAACTCAAAGCTAACCCTATCCCCAAACCCCTATAAATGGATTTTCCCGGGATCCGGGTTCCCCTGTTTTGGGGGGAGCTAAAAGA